GTGTCTTATATTTCTTGAGAAAACTCGAAACGAATGAATTGATGACTTAAACTCCCCCTAATTATACCTAGACAACATCATATTCCAATTCCAACAACATCCTCTCACTGCAACTGCGCCTAATCGTCCATTAAAATGAGCAAAACGTCCCTTATTTCTGGCTTATTATCAGTCTCGTTTCTTTCCTTATTTAACGTCTTATATCTCTTGAGAAAACTCGAAACCAGCAAATTGATGACTTAAACTCTCCCCAATTATACCCACGCAACGTCGTATTTCAATTTCGAAAAAATCTCTCCGACGTCCACCAGAAGCACTGCTCGGTTTGGGTAAAGAACTCCCAAGGGTTAAGAACGACCGGTGAGCCCGCGTCGATCAATCGCCGTACCGCGACATTTTTGTCGGCCGTCGGTCGCACAGACCCCTTATCTCTTTCTTCGACGTTCAAAGACGCCTCGGTGCACCAACAACTATAAGAAATTTCACGACGGAACATGCAAATCGCCTCCCATTATACGGACGTCACGCGACATGACACAGTATGTTAAAAGAGGACGCTTCCGAATAATCGCTACAGGGAAATTAATCTATAGAGGAGGGACGGGAGGGGGATGCAGAAGGGGCGTACAACCCAGAGACATAAATCAACCGCCCTCGAGTGAAACTGGGAACATGCTGGCCCCCATGCTCCTTGTCCTCTTAATTTCTGGGGCTACGTTTCTGAACGAGAAAATTAATTCCAAGATGTAAGGGAAGGCTTCTCATTTCTCAAATATTGAGTATTAAAAAAGCAATCGTGGCTTTCGGGATTAATCTATTTAACACTGATCAAAGTTTCCCTATTCTGTGGATCTCTGATAAATGTGTATTACGTAATATGATAATTTCAGGTATATTACTTTGTATTTGTTCTTTTCTATATCAGAGTCTATAATATTTCAATGTACACCTTCCAATCTGGAAATACCTGGAAACATCCGTTTCCAAAAACTGAACCACCAACAACACAGCGAAATAAAGTAAATAAAGTATTAATGCGTATTATGTAAAACAAATTCTTCATCTACGCCTTCGAATCCAAAAATACCACAAACATCGAATCCAACAAGTGACAAAAAACATTCCTCCATATCGCTAAATCAAAATCATTTCCTTGCCGAGATGACCCCTATGGCCTAATTCGACGTTTGTCCCTCAGGGCTGGATAGGAGGGGCACCTGGAAGCGAGTTCTTCTGAACAAAGGTTCGGCAGGTAGCGGCGGGACCCCGCAGCACACCTCGGGCACATCCACCGACACGGAACTGACGACCCTGGACTCCCACGAACTTTGGCTTCCCGAGAGCGAGCTACCCCCGTCGGCCATGTCTGCCCTTCACGCCTTTGGCGCGGAGATGCTGAAGCTTTCCAGAGGTCTGGAAGGGATTGGCAGCCCTGGGAGCCCCACGCCAATCGGGACACCACGATCCACCCTCCAGCACTCCGCGCAGCATCATCATCAGCACCAGCACCAATCGCACGGGTGCAACTTTCGTCACGGGTAAGGCTCAGGCATCGACGAATGTCTTTGAGGTGTTTGGAATTGAGTATGCTCGTGAAAGAGAGCCAAATGTTTACTCCTAGTAGTTACGGTGGGAGTTTGCAGAAGACTGATACGAAACAAGGAGTAAGTATTTTCTAATAGGCTCTAAAGTTTGAGGATCGAGACTGTGTTCTGTGTGACACATTCTCAGTGGTGTCTTGAAAATCAGGGGAGAAAAAGTTAAAAGTGTCGTTTATATACCCACTAGACGTATTGGTTAATAAATGACAATACAATTTACCAAATATAATTACAAATATTATGTCGCCCAAGATGTTCGTGGCAATTTTGAAGAAAAATTCAAAGGCACATTTGAATTTTAATACACATATATTTATCGAATTACATGGGTACCATTTTGTTCCGCAACCTTTCCATCTTTTAAGGAATGTACACATGTTATTCATTTTCAAGCATTCCGATATATTCAGACCTGTACCACCTACCAAAAGTCGCCATGAACTTTCCAGACAATCCAATACAAAATATACGAAACACGCATTCACACTCACATCTGGTTTATAGTTTTTACAGATTCAATTTTCCAGAACTGCTTTATCTTTTTTTTGGTGTGTATCATCACACTATTCATCGAATTTCCGCGCAAGGAGTTTACCTATCGAGGTCGGAAATCTCCTGTCTATGTCCTTCGAGTTGTCACACAGTGTCGCTAGAAGAAGACACTCTCAGGTCGCGAGAACATCTCCGACTGTTTCGATTTACGAACCCCGTGGTGGTCTCAGCGGGGTGGGAACGACAGATTTATGATGCTTGCGGAATATTCTCCGCTTCGAAACACCCTCGATGCACCTCGACGCTTCACCCTCGCAAGTATTCGAGTAGCTAGTATTCGCGGAGCGAGACTAGCGCGACATGCTGTCTGGAAATTGGCCACTGGTCTGATGATACCTCGAATCGAATCCCGTTTTATCGAGCGGCCTGATAACTCGGTAGAAGATCAAGAAAACAGAGATACGGGGATGGTTCTGTAAGGGATTCATGTTTCAAAGGAAACTGATTAGAGAGATCGAAGTAATTAATAGAATAGATGAACGGTTACGCAAATGTAACTTTACGAGCACCTTGTATATTTCTTCGATGTCCAAAAGACAAGTTCTTATCTGAACTGCTGGACCAATGAATTAGATGTATTAGAATGTAATGGATACGACTTTGATCATTTAATTTCTTTGAAATTGGAGCCCTAATAAAAGCAAATTCGAATTGATTTACTGAATAACATATGCTCGATTTCACTAAAGAAAATTAAATTTGTATACGAATAAATTCATTTCATTCATTTTGTCTACATGAAATGTATTAATTTCTGGTGATTTCATTAAAGCGAATAAAATCATTTTGCATATACATACATATATCTATTGTTATTTACATATACACTCACTTATTGATAATTTCGAAAAATTGTTATACTTAATATTCAATTTCAGTCAAGTATTGTAATACAAACTGAGAACTAATGGTCGGAACTATTATGCTTTAATTATTAGTTATTATTGCACAAATGATCGAAGTCATACGCATCACTCATTTTTCCAAATACATTTTGCACAATTCTGTGATACATGCTATTTCGAAATTAACACTCGTACGACAATCAATGATCTATTAATCAATCATCGAAACACAAGAACTGAACTGAAATTCCAAACATGCTCTCCTAATCAATTTACCCCGACAATGGCCACACGAAAGACGATTTCATATTCTACGAGGTAGATCCCCGGCAATCCTGGATTCCCTTACAGGGAACACGGGTAACAGGACCCCGGTTCTCTAGTCTACGACGTGGATTACACCCTGCCAGGCCATCGTTTCCATCTTCTCAGTGAGATATAAGCGCGAAGGAGAATCCTGGCCGAAGTAACGAGGCAAAAATGAAGACAGGAGACGTATGGAGGTCGCTGGAACGCGGCTACCTGAAACGGTCTAATTTTTTATTGATGCCTCTCCGCTCCACCTTCGGCTTAATGGATACGTGAAATTATCGCGACCTGGTCTAATAATCTCCAAACGCGCCATCGATCCGCGAGGCTTTAACCCTCCACTGTGTGGACTTTTGTCTTATCTCTCGAAAAAGAACGTACTTCAGTAAAGCCAGCTCTGGATAGTCCAAGGAACACTTTATCATAAGTACTTTACAAGAGCCAGAAGAAGCAGAGAAATCTACTTTTATTTTACAAAAGACCTTCTCTTTGACCTGCACAAGTGGCAATTTCATGTATTATTACCTAACAGTATAAACTTCATGGTCACTAGGATTGCCTCGAAGTTGGTGATTCGATGACCCTGAAGAGAAGCTTGAAGAACAGGACTATTAAGTTCATCTCGATTCTTCGAAAAACCCTATCTATATACCACGACCTGACGGTCTAACTCTTCAGGATGACTAGCGTCTCCTCAAAACTGGTGATTCGATCGCCCTGCGGATGAGCTCGAACAATAGTCATCCCACATGAAACTACCGCTTTATGTCAGTGGAAGCAGTTTGAACTTTCCCCTGAAACTGGAACGCGTGAGAGTGATCTAAGGACAAGTTCGTTGAGTTTCTGGACACTGTTCTGCAGTAGGCATCGTTCTAGATCGTTACACCGCGGCTTCCGTTCCAATTCGGGGTCGACGTCGTTCAACATCCCTCCCTCCGACCGCTGTTATCATCTCCTGATGTAGTCCCGGTGACACGTAAGTGGTGTTCCAGCCCGGAGCCGGGGGATTCGCGGTGTGGATGGGACGTTATTCCCGCCACGGAGATTGGCTATTCGTTACCGTTCGGCACGACAACGAATCCAATAAGAAATTTAAGTTGGATTCGCGAGGAAGCCCAGAGGACGGGAAAAATTGACGGAGGAATTCATGGCAGACTAATTTCGATGGAAATGAAAAATGGCAATGGACATCGGAAGTGTCTTGAGCGCTTAGGATCGGGAACATCATCGAATAATTTCTCTTGGGATCTTTGAAACGAATGGCGTAGTATTTGAGGATGAACAACGATTACTTGAGAAAATTGGTACCGGTACTCGAAGTACGTGCAAATAGTAATGTTATTGCCGATGAGACTCGGTACTGTAGAGCATTCTGTCGGTAAACCTCGGTAATGTAGAGTGTCTGTATATCGAACCGTCTGCTCTGCTTTACCGAGCTTTGTTGTGGATTAAATTGTGTATGTAAATCTTAGAAAAAATGCTTGAATTTTGCCTATGGCAACCGAATGTTCCCCCTTGATCTAATTCATATAATTCGAGTATCTATACGATTATTAAGTAATAAATTATGTCAATACCCTTAAGCTTGAAGGTTTACGTAAAAAGCTTCCGTGAAAGTACTCTTAATTCTCGAACACGTTTCCTTTGACTTGCGAAGCCAAACTTGGCACATACTTTGCGACACGGTCTCTTGATTTTTCCATGCGCTTTCCACGTCCAATTAGAGTTGACTTAACTGGGCCGGTCTCTTAATTCGTCATTTAGCGTGATTTATTTACTCTTCACCTGTTGACTCATTAAGAACTCTCTTTTCGAGGGAGCTTGGAAGACGAAGTGTCTAAAACGAACTGAATTACCTCGGTAAATTTCCAGCAAGTACAGAGCACACAACACCGAACGTTTTTTTCAAGGAAAATTACAGATTATACAACGGATATTATTAATTTTCCAGCGACAAATATTCACGAGAGAATTATTGCAGCCGTACTTGTAGTCGTGGTGTTAAATTATTCAAGGCATTGGGAAAGCACTGTGATCGTCGCTGATGTTCAAACTGAAGTCAGTAAGCAGCTTAGTTCTGCAGCTAAAATTGGAAGAATTACTTTCGAGAACAATGCAACGATGGAAACCATTATTGCTTTTAAGTGATAGATTTTCTATCAACTGTTTTAAAAGTAATGAATAATTGTTACGATTAATATTTGATACAATCTAAAATGAAATCGATTGAATCCTATATGGAAATGAAATTCTCAAGACTATGGAAAATTGGAGCATCAATTAGAGAGATTCAATTGACAGAGTACGATTGATATAAATTATCAATAGAGTATGATCATCGAATCTGTGCCAAGAAACGTCAGATCAGACATCCTCGACGGTCCTCGTCGTTTTTAAACAAGACATGAATAAATAATTCTGCCAAAGTACGCCAAAAACTGGGCCAATAATATTCGTCGAACCGCGTAAATCGGTAATTAAATGGAATTATTAATCAACCCGTCCCCAGAAGGATCTCCCCCACCACTGGCAATTTAAACATCTTCGTTCGATTTGTCGTCATCGGCACGAAATCGGTCTCGAGGGCCGCCCCGTCGTTCGCGATGAAATAACACGCCGTGGAGTATTTTAATTAATTCCAAGAATCTCAAGTCCAGCTGTTTGCTTTCACGTCGTTTCAATTTTGCATCCCGTCCGGCGATCAAGCCAAGAATCTAGCCGAAAGCACTTCGCAAACGTGCTCGAGACTCTGAAAGCCTTTCGAGAGCAATGGCGCCGAAGCGTGTCGGAGCGGGCTACTTTCGTGTTCCCACTCTCTCTTTCCCTCTCTTTTACGGCGCATAAAAAGGACTCGTTACGTAAACTTCCCCGGATATTTCGGAATTAGTCCCCCACCCCCCAAAATGAAATCACCACCGTTACGTTGTTTACCGTTATCGCCGTCGAAATATCCAACAGCCCCGAGTCTTTCTTATTCCCAATTAGTAACGTTATCGTGGCACGAATACAACCCTCTCTCTCGGTCCGTTAAAAAAAGAGAGAAATGGGTCGTGTATCAGAATTACATCTGGACACACAATGGCGCCGTTTCGTTCAGAATTGGCTTTTCGTGAGGTATACCTCAAGCAGCCCTAATTAGCGACACGAGCCGAGGGCAATTCTTATATTGGGTCGTTCGATAACGAAACCTCGGAAGAATGAAATGTTACACGAAATATTTGATTCGAAGCGACGAATCGAAATTATTTGAAACGAAGATGAGGTAGTCGAGGCTTGAGGAAATTTTCATTAACGACGTTCTGGTGTTAGGTGTAGAGATTCGTTATGTGCCTAATGTGAAGTAATTTTAATAACGAATAACAATATACAACAGGCTTAGTATCGAAGATGCAAAGGGGTATGCAGAGTATGAAATACATATTAAAATGAAACGTCTCTTGTGGATTTCGAGTGTTTTCGAGTTTTTTAGCTTCATTTCTGGAAAAAATATGTTTCTATGAACTATAAATGAGAGATCGGCAATTACTCGTCGAAATCTCTCGAAGTTGTCTTCATTTTGTAACAATTTACTCGTATTGCATCAGTGTCCCCAATTTCTTCGAAAATATAACCACGCGAATTTTCATCAAAGAGGTCGCGTCGACGTTAATCAAAATTTAAAGAGCACTTAGCCAACCGTGACCCTCACGTTACGTCGCTGAATATGGCACGATTTTGCTTTAAAATAGAGTCGCAAAAAGACCTGGTTCGAAGAGTCAATTTATGGCTGGCGAAAATCGTTCGCTGTCTGCTGAAAGTATTCGTCGCAATCCTGTGCAGTAATAAATTATAAATACCCTACGAATATATCATTTCTGAACGAAGAATTTACATGCTAATGTGCATTCTTGATCTTCCTATTCCTTCAGTTCTGATTCATCTCGCCAAATGGAGTTCGCAATCTCCTTTTCACGCAGCAATCGCAAGATCGGTTCTGGAGATCTAATGCAAGGGGGTCCTGAGTTGAATATCAATCCTAGATCACATCGTGACAAACTTGCCGAGGATCACTGATCAAGTCTGGCTCGGATGTTGAAAGATCTCGGAGGTCCATCGTGGATGAAAGTAGGGAAGAAACAAGCGATTCTATCAGGACCACGATAAACTCCCAATTGAATTGTTCAGCGACGCCTCGAAGATCAATCGCCCTCTTTGAAGAAACAGAGGGACAGGAATAACTGAGAATTCCTAGCTAGCTTAAAATCGACGGATCAAAGAAAACGAGCCAGTGGAGGCGATTGAATTCGGACTTTCTTTCGAGGTGTACAGCGGTGACTCTCAACCTTGTCAAACTCAGTTTGGAAGATCTTTAATGCTAATTTATTCCTTGGTTTCAAATAACTGCTGTGGACGCGATTACCAGACCACTGCTCTTTAGAAATGATGTTGTTTCAAACGTTACTATTGACACAACTGTGAAACATAATATAACATAACACAACGTAACAGGTTATTTCATTTCGTAATTATTTTCATACCCACGATCACTTTCAAAATAACATATTACTTTATTTTGTAATTATTTGAAATAATTGTGAAAATGTCCTTTAAAATCGTATCAAGTGAGGTTCGCACTTGTTACTCGAACTCGAGTAAAAAATAAATGTTCCGATAATTTGAACGACGGTTAGAAATAAATTATTCCAAACAGATACTTTTTACTTTCGGTTCGATTGCAATTTGCCCCGGTTTGACGATTACGATAAGTTCACCCAGTGTACCTCTAAAACTGATACACATAAAAATCGAAAGTGTAAAAGTTCGAGTGCTTCTCCGTAACAACATCGCCGCCAAAGCGGCAACCTAACCGAGTCAGGGGATTGAAAGAACGAAACGCACAGCATCGAAAGGGTTCAGCTTTTGTTGGGGGTTAATTACATCATTGTTTCGAGCACGCGGCAGGGGTGGTCGAGCAGGCAAGAAAGCTTTCCGCGAGCGGAGGAAAAAGCCGTGCTCGTTTTCAGGACAATTACGAGGCTCGAGCAAAGTTCTTCCGAAGGTAGAAGCGTTCAAAGAGCGTCAAAGTGACGAGCCACTGGCCGAAGTCGCGACGAATCCTTTGTGGAGACGCGTGCAGGCTAAGTGCATTCCTTTATTAGAGAGTTTCAGCCAGGAAGAGGCTGGTATACTTAAGTGAGGCCACCGACGAGTGAACTGGTACGTTTTGCACTTTGAATGCCTCCCAGCTAAGTGCGATCCAGTTCCGAGGGGTCACCGGGACCTGCAATATACTTGGTGTTTCGATCGAAGTTATCATCTAGATCCTGACAATTCTTTGATGATTTTCAAAACGTCTTTCGGTTCGTCGGTAATAAAAATGGAGCGATTAAGGGATCGCATGATTAGGAATTAAGAGACGAGGGGTTAAAAGTTCATCAGCTTGACCAAGCGTGAGTGAGGGCTCCGAATAGGAGCGATTTTGACGATAATATCAGAGAAATGATCTTGAAAACGTTTTCTTTCGATCACCGCGCGGTGTTAAGCTTTGAAAAATTGCAAGCCAAGGCTCGAAAAATATCAGTATCATTTTATAGAACAGCCTTCAGCGAGTCGAAACTTCGAACAACCGACAAAGTTATTTAATAACGTCCGACGAAGCGAAATACTGTACAATACAGCATCGACGTAAATTCTTCATCGAGCCGCGGGTGGCTTTTAATTTCCCCGGGAAGTTCACTATTGGAGAAATTCTTGAAATAACCCTGGCGCGTGTTTCGGAAATTTCCAAGAAGCTTTCCGTGCAGCGCACGCGGCCGAGACAAGGAGGAGGGATGAAGAGGCGGAGGCGGGAGCGTCTTTAATATTTTGCTAAGAGCGTAACGTACGAAGATCAAATGAAACGTATCGGCTAAATAAACGGGGGAACCGCGCGTTCCGCGATCCCTCTGAGAGAAATCGATTTCTTTGGAGACGAAAGTACGGCGAGATTTATCTCCTGAGAACCTCTGAATGGGGAATTATGCGAGAAATTTCTTTGAGAATTTATATCAAAAACGAAACTGAAAATCAAATGCGCATTGCGGACATGATCGATCTGAATTTAAATCTGTGAATCGCACGTTCACGCAGGACAACTTGGATTACGTGTATATGTTTTGGAGTGTCGAAACAGCAAAAGATAAAAAAAACAAAAAAAAAAAACAGGTAAAATCGAACGAGTGCTCTGTGTATTCCAACCAGGAAGGCTCGACGTGCACGGATAGGGTCGCGACGAGCACTTTGAAATTGAAACTCGAGCGGATACAGAAAATTGTTACAGCGGCGATTGTTGGCCGGAGTGGCCGTTGACCAAGGTCTTCCTATTCGACGGTGATTGAAGATACCGTCGAGTGCTTCTGAAAAATCAAAACGCGAGGAACGCAGTATCGGCGTACCGACACTTCACGTCTCCCTTCTCTATTCCACTCACGAGAACCCAGTTTCAACAACAACAGACACTCGTCCCGTCGAGACTCGTTGACCCTTCGATGAGATACCATTAGTAGGATCCAGGATCCCTCGTGGATGGAGGCTCCAGGTCGACGTCTTTGTCGGGTGAAACGCTTTGCTTCCACGCTTTGATCTCTCCAGGCGTTTGGGCGATCTCTAGCCTTCGTTTGAAAGATTTCAGTGGGCAATGATTTATGCGATTGGTCTTGCGATACGTGGTAGAAAATATGGACTGGGACCTTAATTCATTTTAATTGTCTTGGTAGCTTTGATAGGGCTTCAGCCTCGTGGCATTTGATTGCGTATATTTGCGGACGTTGAAGTGTTAAACATCGAGCAGATCATCAGATTATAAAGCAAAAGAAAGTCTCTCAAGAGGTTAACTCATCCCCATTTGTCTTGACAGCGTAACTTTCGATTGTGGCTCAAAAGTGTCCTCAACTACGCAAACCACTCCAAATCAAAAATTCCAAACCTCCTTTCCCAATAGTTCTACTGTTACCAAGTGCAACGTCGAAACATTGTTCCCGTTTATTAACAGGTCCACCTAGCAGCCTTACTCCGACGTCCACCAACGCGGAACGTCCTTCGCGTCCTTTTTTTAATTTTAAATCGGTAGGTTCGTCGACCACTCAACCCCACACCGATAGAACGCAATTCGCGGGACAGTCGGGTACGTAATAATGGCTGGCTGATTTCCAATAATGGATAGAACGCGTCAAAAATGGCTGGCACAGCTGCGTTTCATACGTGTCCGATTTATAGCAACGACGCGGCATCCGTTGACCTCTTTCCCTGAGAGCCGAGCACGGTCCATGCATTTCCCCGATCCCTGCGATCCATTACGTTCCGTAGGATGAGGAAGGAAAAGAAAAAAAACGAGGAGCCATCCGTGGGAAGCCTGGCAATCTAAAAATGCACCGGCTTCTCGAGGACGACGTTGGATGAGCGCTGCTTAAACTGCTGCTTATCGCTCCTGTTTGGAAACAAGTTCCCCGCCGAGTATTCTCAGTTAGTGGAAGACTTAACTTTAGATACACGCCATTCTTCTGAAAGTCGATATTTTCTATCGACCGCGATTAAGTACTAGTTTTAGCATTATTTTTAAAGGAGTCCTTTGGAATTTTTAACTTCAAACGATCCACTTTTGTGTAACGTTACTCACTGCGAACCGTATTTGTTTGGAGACCCTCGGGTTAGTCGTTCATATCTTTTAAGAATTTTGTATATTTTTGGACGGAAATGTTTGCGTTGTTTCGTGAAGTAAATATTTCTAAAGAAACACTGATTACAGAATATATCAACCGGGTACAGAACAAAATTTGTAAACCTTTCGCTCCTTAAGTGCAGTTCTAATATTGCCGTCGGTATTAGTTAAACGAAACCCTGAGTGAGGTTAGAATTCTCCCAATAGTTTCTACAATCGCTCTCCAAAAATTCCACTACCTCATCATCAATCAGAAACAATCTACCTCGTGTACCTTATGTACATATATTCGAATGAATATTCCTCCATTATTCGAACCGTAACCGAACCAAGACGATATCAAATTGCAGAAGCGGAGAAAGCGACGGTAGCAGCGCGTCAGGATCCAGGACGAGCCTGTCGGCTCAGGAGGACACGAGCTCCCCGACGCCTTGGAAGCACATCCGAAGAGCCTCGACGTTCAACGAGGTCCACCTGGAGCGCGCAAAGTCGACTTCTCCCAAGACCCCCAGGAAGAGATCCTTCAGCTTCCACGAGCAGACCGTCTTCGGCAGGTCCTCCGCCTCGGGGAAGGACTCCTCGAACGAGGACAGCGTACAGAGGAAGTCCATCGAGAAACAGGAAGGCGAGCTAGTCCTTCCTCCACCCTGCACCTGCCCCTACTTCGGGGAGTCCTCGAAGAGACCGCCCCCGCAACCCTCCAGCGAAATCGTGATCGTGTCCAGCGACACCGTGAAGCCCATCATGGGGAAGAACCTCGAGGCGGGCCTTTTGGGGAGGAACAACAGCGGCAGGGTTGAACCTGCCAGGAGCTACGAGCTGAACTCTGTTGTTTCTTGGAGGGGCGGGAGGAGGGGGTCCAGCTTAGGTGGGTTTCAGGGTGCATGTTGGAGAATTTTGACAGGGATCGTCAGCCAATTGTAAGATGGTGATTTTAAGGGGTGAAAATTAACCTCGAAGTTGCGAATGAAATACCTATTTAGTTGAATGATTTACAAGTTGATAAGAACCATCACGTAATTGTATAATAGTACGTTGATTTTAGGGGGATGAAGATATTAGATGTACATTATTTTATGTTGGTTGGCATATTCATGGAGTGACAACTACCCTCGAAGTTGTGAAGAAACACCTATTTAGATAAACGATTTACAAGTTGATAAGAATTATCACATAATTGTGTAATAATACGTTGATTTTAGGGGTTGAAAATATCAAGTACGTATTGTACGAACATGTACTAAATATACTTACTTTTTTTTTTTTTTTTTGTAAAAATAATGAAAAGGTTTATGCTTGATGATGCAAACGATAAATAATTTCCATTAACAAGATATAAATACTACTTAAACGTGAAAATACGAAACATTAACGTGTTATGATACATTACATTGTTACTTACTACAATAAAAGCATTATCATTATATCAATATCACATGTTCCAATGCTCAATCATTATTAGGGCCAGAATCCTGCCTTACGAACCCCCCACCCTCTTTCAAAAATTAACAGTGTGAGACAACAATGTAAAATATAAAAAAAAAGGTTCGCGATCTCGATAGAAAGTTCACAACTTCAAGGCTACCCTCTACTTTCACTCTCAGAATGTAAATACCAGCCAATATAAATAATCACGCGTCTAATATTTTACAATGCTCCATCAGTGCGCCAAAGCGTCGCAAAAATCTCCACGTTACAATTGGCTTGACGTTCCTTGCGAGTTGATAATTCACTCTATCAACCAAATCTAAGACTGCCCACCCGACAAATAAAATAAATATACCCCGCAGGAAGCACGCGGACGTCCCTGTTGTCCTCCAGAGCAGTTCCCATAAGACGCGTGGCGACGATGCGAGCCCACAACGGCGCAGCGAGCGTCAGCTCGAAGCAGAGCAGCAACACATCCTCGCCGTGTCTCCACAGAACACCTGGGCAGGTGCGCAGCCACCATTCCAGAACCAGCAGCGTGGTCTCCCGCAACAGTTCGCGGCACGGACGGATCATCAGGCTCGAGCAAAAGGCCACCAAGGTCCTGGGCATCGTTTTCTTCACGTTCGTCATCCTCTGGGCGCCGTTCTTCGTCCTGAACCTGATTCCAGCCGTGTGCTCCGAGTGCGAGAGACAGATCGACCACAAGATCTTCGACATCGCCACCTGGCTGGGCTACGCCAGCTCCATGGTCAACCCCATCTTCTACACGATCTTCAACAAGGTGTTCCGGCAGGCGTTCAAGAAGGTGTTGCTCTGCAGATACAGGAACCAAACCTGGCGGCCGTCCAGGTAGGCCTTCGGCCCCGGGAGACCGGGGATCGCCGTCACCAGGGTTTAAAGGCTGGAATCAGTCGACGAATCCATTGTTCGTCGGCGTTGCAGACTTCCTCCGAGGCGGACCCGGGCTACGATCCAGCGGTGCTTCTGGGGCTGAACCGCCAAGGCGAGCCGAAAAAAAGTTAATTACTTGGCCAGCGAAAATAAAAAAAAGGAAGAACGGGGAAAAAAAGGATTTTTCAATTTCGGTGATCCAGGGTACGAGGCGGCGAACTGTGAGGTGGTTTCATTTTTTGGACGTGGTTCCCGAGGAGCTCGCGTCGAAACGGACGAGATTACGTTCTTCTGTGAATTGAAAACGAGGGAGATTGGACGCGAGGGTGATAGTGGTAGTTTCCGACGAATGTCGATCTCAATTGAACCGCGATGGACGTTCGACAGTCCTGCCGAGGTACTGGCTTTGGTCATTTGGGTTTCGCGAGGTTTGTTTAGGTTTGATTTCTTCGAAACTCGAGAGGTCGATGAAACGATTATCGACGAGGAAAGATTCTCTTACCTCGCAATTAGTTTGTGATCACTAGACTGTATTTGTGACTGATGAAAATAGCCACAGCTGAGGGAATCGTGAGGACATTCATACTTCGATAGAACCATTCAACGACGAACCATGAAACTGATTGTTTCTGGTAACGACGGACATCGAGGACGTAAACGAGGAGACTATACTATATACTATACTCAAGCAGGAGGACTTTCGAACAAGTGCTAAGCATGCTCGAAACCTTCTCGAGATCCTCTCGACTCTTCCGGGGATTCGACGAGTGATCGCGAAAGTTGCTCAGGAATCGAAAAGCTCGATACGACCGCGAGGGCTGCGCCTCGAGCATCGAATCAACGCGACAGAAACAATTTGCGACACACGGCTCTGATAAACAGCTATTGGCTGTACAGTTTTCAACATCGCGTGAGCAGGTCGTTGAAACGAAGCGTCTATTCGTCGAGGACTCTTTAACGTGTGCTTGGGAACCACGTTTCAGCGTGGAGAATCGCGCCGGCTCGCTCGCGAGACGTCCACCGCCCTAATTGAACGCGATCCTCGAACTTTTAACGAGAACGGAGCGAGAAACGTTAAATCAACCGTGATGAGGGGGCGTCAGAGTATGCCTCATCCCGACCATTTCAGGATCGACCTTAAATGGCAGCCCGTAAACACCAGTTACTAGATAATTAATGGCATTTCGCAAATTGTTATCGCCTCGTTCGTTTCGAACGAAGAGTCGAACTTGTACCGTCTCTGTCCTGGCAAAATGAATTCCCTACGAGACGAGGGAGTTTAACCCGTTGCCTTGCGCGATGAATCACCGGGTACATGAGTGGGTGATGATTGTGGATTTTATGCACTTATGATGTAAGTGAGGAACATACAGAATATACGTAATACGTGTCGAATATATTCTATTAATTTTATTTTATTTAGCACATATTTGTCGCACATTCATTTGTATCATAAATGCGTAAAATCCGCAGTTTGGGGACTGTGTCTTTATTCGTATTCCCACGTGCTTCTAATTTTATTTATTGTAAATGTTGATCGGAGTGTTATTTTGATGCAAGCAGATGTGTGTATTCAACGTTCTTCGGAATTGTTATGTTTGTGCTATTTTTAATGCTTTAAAGGGTTTAGCACTATGCTTACGGAGATTTCTTATCAGATTTATATGATTTATATTTGAATATAGACATTGAATAAGTTTCAACAAAAACTTTGTCAATAATAATTTTAGAAAAATGTCCAATTTACATGGATGAAATTAACCTTGGTTGTTCTAGTGTTAAACATCGCGCTATGTTAAATAATGTCCAAAAAGAGAAGCCTGTATGAACAATAGCAACCGTCTTTCGTTTGCTCACAAAAATGAAGAATTGTTTAAACGGATAAAAACGGTGACATTGTAAACACAAACATTAAGTATTCCAAGAATTTTAAGGTATACTGCGTATGTTTATGCGATTATGGAAAATATTGCGAAATCTAAGAGAATGCGCGAGATGCACAAATGCAAGAATATAGCGTGACACATTTTTACGATCTCTTCGTCCAACGAATATTATTTAATCGTCCAATGATTATTAATCTCCGTTAATTTGTATTACAATTTCCATTCGTTTATTAATAAATTTCCTCGTGGTAGCATGCTCAAAGCTTCGGCAAAAACGGCAATAATATTTGGGAATACGAATTTGCATAAACATCCGCAGCTATCGGAGCAGATCCAAGGAGAGAAGCGAGAAACAATGAGAGTATGAAATAGCGACAGCTTGTCGGAAACAGTTGAAGTGGTGGGGGACAATTACGCGACACTTTAGAGGCCCCGCAGTAATTATTCCGCGGGATTTAATGACGCAATCTCTGAAGGTGTCGCACAAAGCGGTCGCAACGGAACGATCAGCGATTGAAACAAATTTACAAGGCAACGGGTTAACATTCCGTGACACGCGCCCTTGCTTCGATCGATATCATTGCTAGCTTCTGATGATCAGATGCGAATTGTTGATTGGATTTTTGTGTTCCTTGTATCAGTGGCAATAATCGATCCAGCGCGTCCAACGTTGGTCGTGACGTATCCGAGTGATACCCTCGCTTGTATTCCGTGCTCAAATCGATACAAATAAAGTGAATAAAAAGCGATAGAGCGCTGCTTAGCCCGAGAGACTGAAATTTGTTTGGAACCTCGAGAAAGGTGGAACAACAAATTGGGGGAGCCGTTGATTTTTAACGCGGCGCAAGTACATTTTATGCCGGGATATTTAATTAATCGCATTTTGATGAGTTTAGAAATGTGATTCAAAATATGTACAACAAAAAAATGAGAAGAATAATAGTAAACCTGTACCCAGAGATCCTCCCCGCCATCCTTGGAATTTATTATCACTGTGTCGTTGAAATTTATTATTACTGTGTTGAAACACGACGTGTTTCAAGGATTCTCCAAAAATTATTTCACATTTGCGAGCCACCAGCGTAACTGGGTAAGTACTTAAATTATAAAACTTATGCCCTCAAGTAGGTACAAATTTATACGCCAAAAATTATTACGCAACACCGATAAATTGAAACAACTCGCCTGTACATTGCACATATTACACGACGATCACGAAAAAGTGACGGAATATTACGAAAGCAAGGGACAATAGAATTCGCGTGTTATTCAACGGCAAAAGTAACGAAGAGGGACATGATTGTGCCGCAAACAATACGCATTCATAACGTAAGCAATAATATAAACGTGCACGAACCTATGAGCCGACTTAATGTCAAAGGGAGGCCTAGCAAAAATGGGACGGAGAAGAAAGAAGCGAAAAGGCTGAGATGAGAATTTCAGGGGGAAGGATTATGGAGAAAGACAAAAAGAGAGGGAACAATGGTCGGAAGGAAAAATCTGAAGCAAGAGAGAACGCACGTAAAAGTAGAATCAAACATAGAAATATTAATATTACAAATAAACAGAATTATTATTCAAATGATGCTTTGTTAAATAATTATTACCAGACTGCGGACGTTTATACGTTTATTGGTACTATACCATTTAGAGAATAAGACACGCTTTCATTCAAGTTTCGATTCTTTTTCTGCCATCAGTGAAAAACCTAATTTTCTATAAACACAAGCAGCCTAATTACTATACATCTATACGTGAATAAATTGCCAATAAAAAACAAAAGACTCAACTAGCCAACACCATCAAGAATGAAGAATATTGTAAAATCAGAATTATTTATGAAATATAGTAAAAGGGAAGGGACTGATGACGGTAACTAAGTAATCATCGGCAAGTTGATAGCGAAACATCATAAAACGGGAGTAGATAACAATTTTCATGATCCCGTGGTCGGGAAAGACTCGACACTTCTGGGTTTGTATCGCGAAATCGTGACGAACAATTCGTCATCGTTATCGGGGTATTAATGTCCGAATTCAACGATGAGGGATGATGATCCGAATCTCGCGATTAACGGGCGATATATCGTTCGGAAACTATCGGCGAACGTTGCGTGGAAATGCTGGCAACGATGTTAATTATTGTCACTTATCAACGAAACGAGAATACTAGAAGAATAGAAGTGTATTCTCCGAGTCATTTTCAACAACTCCGAAATCGTGCCACGTTGTAAAAATAGATCGTTTGAATCTACGAACCTTTAAATTAAACTGTAACACGTACAATAATCAAAAAGAATCGAAAGTAAAGGAAATAGTTAATTCGATGAATTTCCAACGAGGCGAACCAGCTCGAAACAATATAAGTCTCGTGCTACTCCACAGCCAGCTACGAAAGAGGAAACGCGTATAGGGCTCTGTTCTGACAACTGATATTCGCTTTTCGTTCGGTTCAATTTAGGAAATGCGATAAAAGTCTAATTTCCTTTTCATTTGAAAGCTGCTTTTAAGATAGAGGACGACCTGAATTCCCTCGGAAAGAATTCCTACCTTAAGGTTCCGGATTAAACGAATTACGTCAACATTGTTTCGCAAAAATTCGATGCTCTCTGGTATTGTTAGTCTAGAAGCAGTTTATCGGATGAAAGGATAACCTTATCTGTGTTACACTTGAGGATTATGTTAGGTTTCTTTAGAATTTTTTTACGTTAGAAGTCCGTCACAATTGATTATTTATAAAAGTTCCACAGGCGTCCGATAATAAAATGATCTTTGAAAAAAATGTCTCGTTATTCTTAAACAAAATTGGGAATTTGGTCAAATTTCTCCAGAATTGTTTATTTACAATATTAGTTCATCATATTTCATTATTTGTAAAAGTTCCGCGGGTCTCTTCCGATGAAACGAACTTTGAAAAAAGCTTCGTTACTCTTAAATAAAATTGCTGTAGGGGAGACAAAGAAAAATTCAAGTTTTTCCTTTGATATTGGTTGCCTTTACGTTGTATTTTATTTTACCTTCATCGCTGGCACTGAAACTCACTTTTTCTTTGTTAACTGAAGAGACGAGACTCTTCACTATTCCATTTCTTCAGACACAAAAGTTATTGTTTGAAAACGATGTACGCTGACGAGGAAAACAGCGAAATAAAAGTACCGAGAAAGGCACCATGGAATCCATTAAATTACGAGAAGGGACAATAGAGAATCTTACAATAGAATGTTTTGAAGCTTCGCGATTGGATTAACTACTAGCGACACAAACTATTCAACGCATTTCTTTTATCTTTTATTTCAAAACATGGCACAATACCTATTGCCTCATCAGAGTTATTTTTACACATTTTCAAACGAACTAATCGTCAAATTTCTCTCAGGAGATATATGAAGAATTTGCAATCAAGTGACTTCGAACTCCGTGATTTAATTAACTAATACTGATACAAACTATCCAATGGGCTTCTTTTGTCTTTGATTTCAAAAGATAGATTCATGAACTTTTCTCAAAAGATAGATTCACGAATAAATACAATCCTGATTGGATAAATTCTGTAGACTGAGGAGGTTTATGCTCATTCATATTTGTATAAACACAGAAGAAGGACAGAAACTTACGAATAAATATTCGTAGTTTAGTCATCTAAAAATGGCAAGACGTTTGCCTTGGCTCCCATAACTCAGATAAAGGTCTTACAATGTTCCTGTAGAAATTTATTCAAGGGGTAGTTTGAGGACTCGCGTAAAAAAATGGCGTAACATTCCCCCACCTCTAGACGCCTATGCAAACAAAGGAAATTCCTGAACGACACCAGTCACCTCCCGCGTTTTAACCGTGGCAAAATGCTTGGTAAACAAATTCATTGGTAACGACATCCACGTCATTACCCTCTTCCGTCCCATTACGAGCGGTTACATACATCAAGGAGGGTGAATCGCCCGAATGGAAGCTTAATTACTAGTTATCAGCGAGCAAACCGCATCCTCTCCCGAGAGGATTACTTAACTCCATAAAATTAGAGGTCGGAAATGAAGAAAGAACCTTTTGTTATTCTCTCGAGAACTCTTTGGCGACGACACTCGCCCTTTCGAGGAGGAAAAAGAAAGAAATCTATTGTTTGATCCAAAATAAAAGAGAACTGAATCCAGTATGAACGATCTCTACCACGGTTTACATAAACTATGATTTATCTCTATGCGAAGAAAACACATACGTATAATACAACCTGTACATATGTAAATAACCGTTTTAAATATTTAGTGATAAGGAAAACGTTTCATCCACCACGTGGACAGTGTAAATTTATAGATATCCATAATTTACCCCGTACAATTTTTATGCTCACTGGCGCGGGCATAATCTAAATGCTTTTGTTTAATGTCCTGCTACGCGTGTCGCTTAAACAGCAGTAAAACTCCGTCTCCGAACAGCTTGGTGTAATTTCATACGCTCACTCTTGCGTAGAGTAACACTATTTTATATTGATACGCGATTTTGAAATCGCCAGAATTCGACTTCCTTAAGAAAAAATTGACAATAAAACGGTTCCACAAGACTTAGGATTTTGACAATTTACAGCACATGAAATTTACAATAATTGTAGGTATCGGCTTTCACCTTCCCTAATTCTACGTTCTCGGATCGAGTCACTATTGGCTTCGGTGTTTCTATTTTTTGCAGAAATTCGCGAAAAAATGAGACCGTAAGAGATTCTTATCAGCGGAACAGCGTCGATTATTAATTTAAATACAGAAAAACCGAGAACGGAAACGGCACTTCACGTTGTGCCTTTCATATTCGAAAATCAATGCGCATTAGACGATGAAGATGAAGTAGGTCAGACCAGTCGAATGGAGCTTTCGTTGCGATATATTCAGGCAGCTGGTATGATCACCAGGATATATCCTTTCTATCGATTACTCGCGAATTTCGTTATTTCGTTTTGCCCGCGGAATAAAAGTAAAAACGACTTTTAATCAATCGCCAAGTCCCCTCTCCGTTCAGAGGGTGAGGGGAGGTTTGCTGTTTAATCATCGAATCGATATTGCGTGTTCCTTTTATTTTTTTCACAGAAACATAATCTGATGAAAAGATTAAGTAAATTCTAGATTGAATTAAATTTCGTCTAATCGCAGGACGATGATTTTTTCACCTACGATATTTCGTTTAATTTCGAAGTCTACAGACAAATGCGCACGAATGTACGTCGCGCTAAAGGTAATTTTCTCTTCGAAAAAACATGTGGAAAATTCTTCACGAGCCACTGTGAGACATCTTGAATATTTAATGTAATTAAATTTTCAAAATAATCTTACTTCCCTCTGGCGACGCGACGAGTAAAAAGAACTGGAAACGTTGAATCGCGAACGAGGTGGAAATTTCTGACGCTATCGTGTAATTTCACGCTTAGTGATTTAAAGCGGAGATTTAAGGAAAGAAAACGCTTTACTTAATGGAAAGTCTACATTACGGAGTGCGTTTAATTTCGTTTGCAGCCTCCGTTAAAGCCGAATTTAAGGCGGGAGCTATTTAGTTACATGGAAAATTTATACTCGGTTGCGTGGAATGAATGAGACCGCGAGTTTAAAAGGAAATCGGACGAGAGCCGGCCATGGAAAAAAAAATCGAGCCGAATACTGCAGCCATTCGAGACCTGTGTACGTGCAAAAGTGGTAGCACTGAATTAGAATTCTGCGTTGTAGTTAACGTTTCAAACTGTATGCTCTCTGCAGTTACATGTTAAGATTCTCTTGGGTAAATTAAATTACAGATTAAAGTACTCTTTGTTACATCGAATCGAAAATTTTGTATAGAGATACTCTGCTTTACAGTTAAATTTACACATCCTATATTACAGCATTCATACTCTTCGTTTAAATCAAATTTGCCAACGAGAAAACATGAAAAATTAACTGGACCATCCAATGACATCCATTTTCCGCTCCAGATCGGCGCAGTTTGAAGATTAAACGACAAACGTACACTACTAATTCGGAGAAAATGAAAAACGCGAGTGGTCAGCGATGCTCCATTATTCTTTCTCTTCTTCTCCCGATTTCGTATCGGCACCGAAAGGAACGCGACGAAACGAGCGACAAAGAGTTGGCAATTTCAAAGGGTGCCTCATTGTTAGTAGCAACAGGGACGCAGATGAGAGAAAGATACCATCAAACGAGCGGTTTGCAGCTCTTTTGAGAACGTCGTCGTCGGTCTACTTTTCCTTCCGCGCTCCTCGAAGCGTGCAGACGCAGCGTCGAAGACGCGAACCCTGGAGAAAATGTGTGTCTCGCCGAGGGTTAGGTTTCAAAGCGGATCGCGAACAGAAAGACGTCGACTCATCAGCTACCTTGCCTCGCAAATAGTTCCTCGGCACTGTCTCGCGAATTTTTCACGGTAACCAGCTTCGCCCTCATCGGCTAAATTACGGGTCCAGGATCGAGCTGTTTGTCCTTCCGCTTTAGGGGAAGCTTTGTGCAAACGGGAGACGAGAGTCGGCTCCCGAAACGAAAAGGATACCTGGAAACGGAGCTTTCCAATTCGAAATGGAACACGATCTCGATTCCTCTT